CAAGATCAAGAGTTGCATGCTCCACTGACTGAGCCAGCCAGGCTTCCCTGCACTTGGCTATTTTTTTTAAAAAGATTTATTTATCTGAGAGACAGAATGCGCGTGTGTGTGCGCACGCGCACATGTGTGGTGGGAGGGGCAGAGGGGGAGAGAGAATCCTCAAGCCAACTCCCAGCTGAGCATGGAGCCCAACATGGGGCTTGATCCCAGGACCCAGCCAAAGTCAAATGTTGACTCTTAACCGACTGAGCCACCCAGGCACCCCTGCACTTGGCTATTTTCAAGGTGGCATTTCCAAAGGCTGGTGCTCAGTCCCTTCTGCCAGGCTGCAGCATAGAGTTCTTATTTTAATGAAAGCCAGGTACCTTAATGAGTGGGTCTACCTGAGCCTGGCATTCTGGAAATAGGGACTGAGGCACAGACAACAAAGAGTCTTCACTATTTCAAAGTCATTTCTAACAAAATGACCACAATTTTCAGAACAAGAAAATTCATGTTATGCAATATCTAGTCACAGATAATAAGTTAAATTAAACAGCCTACAGAAAGACTACCCACAACCACTGCAAGAGAAACAATGTCTTATGAAGACCTAAGTCATTCCCATGCCACCCTAGAAAGTGAATGTAAACTCTATATAACTTTTGATTCTTTATTTCCTGAGTATGCAAACTATTCAGCAACAAGGTAGCAAAATAAAGACTCTCATACACTTCTTACAGGAATATAAATTGGTAAAACTCTTGAAGGCAATTTAGTAACAAATTTCAGAAATCCTAAAGAAGGTACACACCCAGTGATACAATAATTCTCTTTCCAGGACTTCACTGTAAGAAAATAACTATAGATGGGTGTGGAAATTACTATACAATAGAAAATTAACTGTAGTATTATTTAAATAGCTGAAAACTAAAAAATTAGCTAAGTATTTAATAGTAGAAGTTGGTTAAAGAATTTCTACACGTTTCAGGGGCGCCTGGGTGGCTCAGTCGTTAAGCATCTGCCTTCGGCTCAGGTCATGATCCCAGGGTCCTGGGATCGAGCCCCACATCGGGCTCCCTGCTCCGTGGGAAGCCTGCTTTTCCCTCTCCCATTCCCCCTGCTTGTGTTCCCTCTCTCGCTGTGTCTCTCTCTGCCAAATAAATAAATAAAATCTTAAAAAAAAAAAAGAATTTCTACACATTTCATCCATACAATAGAATAGTATGTAGCCATTAAACATGGCTAGGTGTTTATTAATATATGTGTAGATTATATTATTGACCCCAATTCTCCACCCCTCCCTATGTCTAGGCTCTTTGTTATATAACTTTGCAATGTCCTCCCATTGTGGACAGGATGGAAGTCTCCACCACAAGCTCAGCCATGTGTTGTTCTGATCCGCAGGATGTTAGTATGTGTGATGCAACCAGAAACTTAAAAAGTGCATGCCTGATCGGGCTTGTTCACAGTTGTACCTCTGCTATCACTATGAGAAGACCATGCCTAATTTAGTCCCCTGGTCCAGGAGGATGACAGACATGTGGAGAAGAGCCCAGCCTAGATTAGCCAACTACAGCCAGCCATTAATGCATGAATGAGCCCCCAATGAAACCAACAAACTGCCTAGACAAGTCTAACCTAGATCAGCTGATCCGTAGCTGACTTTCAGATATATGAACCAAGTAAAGGCTTATTGTTGCTTTAAGCCACTGAGTTTTGGAGTAGTTTGTTAAATAACATTTTTGTGACAATAGTTAAATAACAGTATTTAAAAGTCTGAAAGAAAAAAGAGGGGAAAAAATCTGGAAATATATACTCCAAATGCTAAGAGACTTCCTGTTAAAACTGGTAGATTGATCACATGTATATCCTCTCTCCCTCCAAAAACCTCACTAAAATGACAATAAAGGAATAAAACTTGTCTTAAACAAAAAGGAGAGGAGATTATAGCAAAATAAAGTTTAATACAATAGCGGAAACATAAAACAGGTGGAAGAGGGATAAATGACTGAGCAACATGGAAGAAATTACAGTTTAATGGCCTGCAGAGAGGAGCAGCAATAAAAATCAGGCCAACTCACCCCCTAGAGTTTCCAAGAAATTCAGCACCTTGAAGACATCAGGTACTATCGAAAGTGGGGTACAGAGATGGAAATCAAGCTGAAAGTTTGTATACAGACCAGTCAGAACCCCAGGTCACATCTCATCTATGTGCAGCCAAGTGACAACCCCTACATACCCCATCTTTCCACCTACTACTCCACCCCCCGAGACCACAGTTCTAGAGAACACTCACTAAAGAGGCACAGGTCTAGAGGATACTATGCACAGTAATGGGTTGAGGGGAAGTGTAATGAGATTACATAAACCCTTTATACTGCAATCAGCCACATCACCCGTTCCTGTTCTCTCAACTCTAGCAGTTGGTCACATGAGCCCCCCCATCCCACCCAAACTCCATCTTGATTACCCTTAGGCAGGACATCGGATTCTTCTTTAGAAAACCTAAATCATTTCAGAGAAAAAGAAAACCTATAAATGACATTTAAGGATACCTCAAGATAAAAGGCCAGCCCACTGCCTGATCTCCTTTCAGTAAGACTGGTTCTGCCCATTCACAGGGTCTCAAATGAACACGTTAGTGCCAGTTTTAAGTAGAAGACAGACAGCCAAAGATTATAAATAAGAGAAAACCCTCCCATGTGAAAGACAGAACCCAAATCAAACAGGAAAAGAAAAAGGTGGGGGGGGGGCCAGAAAGACAAAGGGACTATGTGTAGAACTGATGGAAACTAAAAAAACAACAACAAAAACTCAAGAGATAAGGGAAGGATATTGTGGTGATAAAATAATAATAGGATGCTTCAAAGAAACAACTGGAGATGAAGAAAGAACTTCAAAATATAATTAAAGAATTTGGGGCACCTGGCTGGCTCATCTGTAGTGCATGCAACTCTTGATCTTGGGGTCATGAGTTCGAGCCCCACATTGGGCATAGAGTTTAATTTAAAAATAAACATAAGAATATAAAAACAGATTTAAATATATATATATAAAAATTTAAAAATTTAAAAATTCAGTAGAAGAGTTGGAAGATAAAAACATAGTAATGTTCCAGCAAAAGTCACCAAAAAAGATGGAAAAGTCCACTGAAAATAAAATGCAAATTAGATCAGTCAAGAAAGGCCAATATCCAATATATGTCCCAAACAAGAGGACAGAGAAAATAGAATTTGAAAACTAGTTCAAGAACACCTTCTAGAACTAAAGGACACTGGTGTCTAAACTGAAAGGGCCTACCAAGTGCCCAGCATAATAAATGGAAAAAGACCCATGTCAAGACATGGCGTCATAAAATTTCAAAACACTAAATCTTTCAGAAAACATTAGATTACATTTAATGGCATCAAACTGCTTCATAGCAACCAGGATGCTAGATAGAAGACAGTGAAGTAATGCCTTCAAAATTCTGAAGGAAAAGTTTTTCCAGTCTAGAATTCTATACCTTGTCCCAACTATTTAGTACTAAACTAGAATAAAGACATTTTTCAGACAAAGAATGACTCAAAATATGTATCTCATACACCTACTCCTTTTTTTAAGATTTTTATTTTTAAGTAATCTCTACACCCAACATGGGGTTCAAACTTACAACCCCGAGATCAAGAGTCGCACGCTCTACTGACGGAGCCAGCCAAGTGCCCCTCATACACCCTTTTTTTTGGAAACTACTAGAGGAAATACTTTAGCAAAACGGAGGAAAAAATCAATGAAGGAGAGAAGGAATCCAGGAAAAAAGGGAAACGACACAGGAGAATTATAAAGGGAAGTCCCAGTATGACAGCTTTGCACCAGGCCCAGAAAACAACCAGGACAGAACTGGGGCAGGATGAAGGATGTGTGAGAGAGGTCTTCAGAAAAATAATGGAACTGATACACTGTTTGATGCATTAAACATTTTTTAAAAACTGCACTTGATAGGTCTAGCAGAACAGCTGGGGGAAAGGGATTGTCACAAAAAGACTAAGCAAAAACAAAAAAATAAGCAAAAAAAAAAAAAAAAAAAAAGATAATTATTAACCCCAGGAAAAAGAAAAGGTTATACAAGAAAGAAAAAGTAGTTACTACTTTGCCAACAATGAATAATGGATACAGAGTCATAAACTATAGGTACTGACTACTGATTAATCAAACCTGTGACACAACTTCTCTAAGAAAATTAGGTAAAGGGGAAGTGATGATACAAAGGAGCTGAATCTTTATCTCCCATCAGGGGAATGCAATAAATAATGTCTAAAATTTATAATTCAGGAAATAGTAATATGAGATCTTACTTAGAAATATGGAAGTAGGAGAGCCTGGGTGGCTCAGTCGGTTAAGCGTCCGCCTTTGGCTCAGGTCATGATCCCAGAGTCCTGGATCGAGTCCCGCACCGGGCTCTCTGCTCAGTGGGAAGCCTGCTTCTCCCTCTCCCTCTCCCCCTCCCCCCTGCTTGTGCTTTCTCTATCTCTCTCTAATAAATAAATAAATAAAATCTTAAAAAAGAAATATGGAAGTAAATACCAGCAAAAGCCAGAAAGTAGTTCTTTCGAAGTTGAACTAGGGATGGGAAGAGAGGCTGAGGGCTGCTATTCTCATAAGCTTTTTCTCAGTTTTTCTGTTTGTTTTTTAAACTTTATTTTTAAAAATAATCTCTATATCCAGCTCGGGGCTTGAACACACGACCCCAAGATCAAGTGTCGCATGCTCTTCTGACTGAGCCAAGCAGGCGTCCCATTGTTTATTTTTTTCCAACTGTGTTAACAATAACTCTCTGAGTTGTAGAATTTCAGCATCTTTTAATTCATTTTTTTCTCAGCTTATCGAAATTTCCTAGAATAATCTTGTGTTACTTGTGTAATTAAAAATATATATTCTTAAATGTTGGACTGCTTTTAAAAAAAAAATCCACAGCAGAAGTATTACAAAACCCTGCACAAATCAGGGACTGACCTTTGCGCTTTCCTCTGGGGCCTTACCTTTTATCGTGGTCAAAATGAAGAAAGCAATGAGGGTGTTGTTGATGGCACAGGTAGACTTGGCAACACAAGACAAGACGGTGTAGGGATTTAAGAGATAGCTGGGGAAAAACATACAATGTTGGCATTAGTAATCCCGGTCAAAGCACCAGGGAGTCCTGGCCACCACAGGCAGGCAATTCAAGAGATTTACTAACACCATACTCAAGGGAAGGCAACTTCTTAGAAATGAGTTCTCTTAAGTAAAAGAGAATGAAATGGGGTTAGGACCAATGAGTCTAAGATGCTGAACATTCACTGCCTATTCTGTGCTACATGGTATATCATCACAGAGATCCAGTAAACTAGCAACACCATTAGTCCTCTGATGGAGAAACTGAGACTCAGTGGTTGAGGAACTTGCCCAGGGTTTCATAAGCTAATCAATACATTCAAAATCCGGACTTTCTGGCTCGAAAGCCTATGTTCTTTTTATTACTTCAGATATCATAAATGATAAAATTTTACCAATTCCCACAGAGTCATATATTTTAGGAATGGCTACAGTTATCTCTGAAAACCAGGAAAGTAATTTTTCCTCAATCAGGCTCCCAAGCTCTGATGCAGGCTACCCTCCCTTTCCTCCAAGAGGCCAGAGCAGCTTGCGGTTAGCCCTCTGGGTAGTCAAGCTGTATCTACCAAGCCAGACCCTCAGGACAGGGTAAGTATCTGCTGAATTCCACAAGCTGGTTGCCACAGGACTTCACAGGGCATCTTGAACTTCCACTGGGAAGGAATTAAGCTGAAAAACCTAGTCTTTTTCTGAGGTGGAAAGGAATGGACTGAGAAATGAATTTAAAATGCTGATTAGGGAAATTTTATAGTCCTAATGGATGATTATTTTATTTATTTCTATCCTGCTTCCACAGAAGATTTGAGGCCGCTCAAATGAGAACAGATAATAAAAGCTAATAGCAAAATAAAAACAGAAATAAAAAATTAAGACCAGGAAAAACGTAAATAGAAAAAAAATAAGGGCCAGGGGAAAAAAGACCAAAGGGTCTTCTACAGCACTGTATTAATCAGCTTCAAATCTGGCTCTGAGTTTCCTGGCAGACAGAGTGAAAAGGGAGACCAGTTACATAATTCTGATTATTAGATAGGAAGAAACATACCAGCATGTCAGGGACAGATTATAATTATTATTCACCAATAAAGAGCTTAAGTCCAATACCTCCCAGGGCTGTAAGATCAGCAGTTCTAAAACCAAAGGCCCAGAAATTGTTCGTGATTTTTTTTCAACAATTACAGATAGGCCTGTTACACAACCCTTAAAGAAATGGCTGCCACTATTATAAAAGTATCCCCAGGAGATATAAGAGTCCATAAGGGATTCATAATGTTGCTAAACCTCCGGTTCTATTAGGTAGTTCCTGCCAATATTTCCGAAATACATAGATATGAAAGTTGTTTGGTGGGAGAGGGAAAAAAAGCCATTTCTAAATAGCAGGTGATGTTCAAGAAGAAGCTGCACAGCCCCCTATTTGGAACACTGAACAGGAGATTCAACACAAAGCAGAGGGTTGAATAAACTGCCCTCACAAGGCCCCATCTAATTCTGAAGTTCTAAGGTCAGGTTTTTCCATGAGGAAACTTGTCTGTCTTATTTACAGTGTATCCCTTTGAAGCTAGTATATTAATATTCAGTGACTGTTAGTTTGACTGAATAATTGTCACATTTGCCTATCTCCAGAATATAAATGGGAATAACCTGAAAGAATTAAATTTACTGGCAGCACTGAGCACTCCCCGAGAAATCTTTTACAGAGCTTCAGTAAGTTCCACTCTCCCATACTGGTGTCCCAGCTGGGATGGGTCTGTTTGCCTAGTTTTCTAAACTACAAATGGGGGACTAATTGTACATGAAATATAGGAGCTGCTCAAAATAATGGCCACATAAAGATCAGAATTTTATTCAATCCATATATACAATTAAAGAACTTTTTTTTTTTTTTTTTTTGAAACACTGGTTACAAGTAGGCTGGAGCCCAGATCAGCATAGAATGAAAAAGCATTTGTAAAGGGTTGATTGTGCATGTCCCTGTGTGAGGCTTTGTCCCAACAGAAACAGAATGGCTCTGTCTCTTTTGCTGGCCAGAACCCCAGTCATGCAACAGAACTGCAGCAAGTACTTGATGACTAAGACTGCAAATCTCCAAAAATACAACAAACAACATGAGAAAGTCTCATCAGATTTTCCTTGCGTTTGTTGGCACTGAGCCCCGTTTTGTCAAAGAATACTTACAACAGGGCCACTTTTAGAGGGATGGAACGCATTTCCATCGGGGTTCGGATGAGTTCGGCCACATCTGGGGCATATTGGTCTAGTTCTAGGAGGAGTTTCTGCTTTTTAAACTGGAAAAAAGAAATGACAAAACACATTACTTCCCATTGATTTTAGAATGAAGACAGCAGTCCTTCCATGGCCCACGTGGCCCCACCTGGTCTGGCCCTAGCTGTCCAGGCTCACCTCACCCCCACCTGTCCCCTCACCTCTCACTCTCTGGGTTCTAGCACCATGAACATGCCGTAACCCTCATGCTCCCAGGCCTTTGCATTTGACCTGGAACAACTTGTTCTCTTTCCCTAGTTAGCTCCCACATCACCTTTAGATCTCAGTTGAATCATTTCTTCCTCAGGAAGACACACTCACCCCCCTCAGTAGGTAAAATCTCCCTATAACATTCTTTCATAGCACTGTTCATGGTTACAACTTTCTTATTTATGTGACTAATATCTGTCTCCCTCACTAGACTATGAGTTCCATGAGGGCAGGGATGATGTTTATTTGCCAGGACCTGGTACAGTGAGCAAACAGTAAATATCTACTGAATGGCTAAATGAATGACTGAGTGGCAAAGCAAGGTTCTCAGCCATTCTGAACAAATATCATTGGGGCGCCTGGGTGGCTCAGTCAGTGAAGTGTCTGCCTTCGGCTTAGGTCATGACCAGAGTCCTGAGATGGAGGCTCCCTGCTCAGCGGGGAGTCTGCTTCTCCCTCTCCCTCTGCCCCTCCCCCTGCTCATGCTCTCTCTCTCTCTTTAATAAAATCTTAAAAAAAAAAAAAAGTAATCATGAGTGGCCTAAGGACTCCAAAGTTCCATCAGCAAAGTGAAATATTTTCATACAAAGTAAAATGATCCCCTGAATGTCACAGTATCCCAGGTTTTCTTCCAAGCCCTCCTGTTTGAAGTTTTTGACTCCCACAGAGGAAGTGGGGAATGGCCATGATGAAGGAAGGAGGACGGCTGGGTGTGGCTGGGCAGCTGGTTGGTCTAGAGGGAGTGAGATGGGGGCGGAAAGCTCTTGCCTTCCCCTGGTGTGTCCCAGCAAGTTCATGGGTGTGCTCCAGAATGAAGAAAAGTTAGTCAACCCTATAAGCAAACATGGGTCAGATTATAGATGGAAAGCCTCTGAACCCCAAATGGGGAGCTTTGCTGATTTAATGGTCAGAGAATCTTATTTCAAGAGCATAAAATCAATGCTGCAACTGATTATAAAACAGAGTAGTACAGGGGAGCCAGAGTAGCGAGTGCTTAACTGGGCATGATAGAAGAGTTAATGATGAAAAAGGCATGTGTAAAACGCATACTGTATCATGCCATTTACACAAAGTTAAAAGCATGCAAAATAATACTACGTGTTATTTAGGGATATATACAAAAGTAGCAAAAGTTAAGGCCCTGTGGGGGGACAATAAACACTAAATCCACTACAGTGTGAGAAGGAGAATAAAGAGGTGAACATTTCAGAGGCGAGTATATGTGTAATATATTTATTTTTTATTTTATTTATTTATTTGAGAGAGAGAGTGCACAAACATGAGGGGGAGGAGGGGCAGAGGGAGAAGGAGAGAATCTCAAGCAGACTCCCCAGAGTGCAGAGCCCTACACAGGGCTCGATCCCACAACCCCAAGATCATGACCTAAGCTGAAACTAAGAGTTGGACACTCAACCAACTGAGCCACCCAGGTGCCCCATGTAATGTTTTATTTTTGAACCTGAAATAGGTTCACAGTATGTATTATTCTTTACATATTTTTGCATGTCTTACATATTTCATAATTTTTTTAAATGGAAAGCTTTAAAAAATTTTTAAAGATTCGCTTTTCAGTTCAAAAGAAAATCGAGGAGTTGGGACGCCTGGGTGGCTCAAGCGCTTAAGCGGCTGCCTTCGGCTCAGGTCATGATCCCAGAGTCCTGGGATCAAACCCCACATCGGGCTCCTTGCTCAGCAGGGAGCCTGCTTCTCCCTCTGCCTGCCGCTCCCCCTGCTTGTGCTCACTCTCTCTCTCTCTCTGATAAAAAAAAAAAAAGGAAAAAGAAAATTGAGGAGTTATCACAGGAATACAGGTAAGCCCAGACTTCTTGCACAGATTTAAATAGAGGCTTAATCAGAAAACCTGAACAAACTTCAAAAACCTCCCTTTGATCATCTCTGAGAGTTCAGGTTCAACAGTGGGAATTATCATCAGTTAAGAGTTACACTACCATTCACAGGTGGGGCTGTTTAATTAAACAGACAATATATGAACTAAGGTGCTTTTATCAGAGGGGCTGGCTCCGCAGACAAAGCACTTAGTGAGGACAGCTGCAGCAGGGGTAGAGGAAGGAGGCCCTGCTAGCTTAAGGGTCCTGGAGTTCCTGCAAAAAGGTGGCCACCTGGATGGGGTGAGACCCACAAAGAAGGCTATTGAAAGGAAATAGGGAGTTGATCCAGGAGAAGCCAGAGAGACAGGTGGGAATGTAGACCCATTCGCAGGCTGGAAGCCAGCCAGCAGGACTACAGGAGGAGATGGGGGCAGCTCAACAGGCACATGTAGATCCTACACAGAGGTGACACTGTGCCAACAACCAAAGAAAAGTACTTCCTTGTCACCCTAATCTTCCAAAATACTTTGAAACAGGAAGATTTTATGAAAGGAGAGTCTACAGGAGAGAAGGGCAGTCAGGTCAGCATTCCCCAGATTCTCTGCTACATCTCTTTTTGTCTCCTCCAATCTCATCAGCAAAGCCCCCATTATGCCTGGCTTCACAGGCCCAATATTGACTCAGCTCCCTGACGAACAAAAATTCCTTTTAAAAATCCCTATTGGATCCAGTTAGAGACAGGAAAATGGCTAAAAGTCTAAGGAAAAGTGAACACACACACACACCAAGAAAATATTAAAAGTATAAAAATAAATGAGGTTAAAGCCTACAATTTAAAATCCAAAGATAAATATTTCTAGATATATTCAGCAGCCTTGACAATGAGGAGATTTAAAGCTACCACAGGGGGCGCCTGGGTGGCTCAGTCGTTGAGCATCTGCCTTCGGCTCAGGTCATAATAGAACCCAGCATCAGGCTCCATGCTCGGGAGGAAGCCTGCTTCTCCCTCTCCCCCTCTCCCTACTTGCGTTCCCTATCTCACTGAATCTCTCTCTGTTAAATAAATAAATAAAATCTTTAAAAAAATAAAATAAAAAATAAAGCTACCACAGGATGGGGCATCTGAGTGGCTCAGTCAGTTAAGCATCGGCCTTTGGCTCAGGTCATGATCCCAGGGTCCTGGGATCGAGCCCCGCTTTGGGCTCCCTGCTCAGCGGGGAATCTGCTTCTCCCTCTCCCCCCCTGCTTGTGTTCCCTCTCTCACTGTGTCTCTCTCTGTCAAATAAATAAAATCTTTAAAAAATAAATAAAAATAAAAAAAATAAAGCTGCCATAGGAGAGGTTAAAAGTGGCCTAAAAGGGGGCTCCTGGGTGGCTGTCATTGACCGTCTGCCTTCGGCTCAGATCATGATCCCAGGGTCCTAGAATCGAGCCCCGCATTGGGGTCCCTGCTCCGCGGGAAGCCTGTTTCTCTCTTTCCTACTCCCCCTGCTTGTGTTCCCTCTGTCGCTGTGTCTCTGTCAAATAAATAAATAAAATCTTTAAAAAAAAAAAAAAGTGGCCTAAAAGGTAATTACCTAGGTGCACTGTCTCTGTGATCATTAATCACTTTATACACAGATGCTTGTGTGCTTTTCCATATGCATGTTATATTTCAATAGAAATTTTTGAATTAAAAAAAAATCTCCAGGGTGGAGCTAATTTATCTCTGCATTCCTCAGCTTGTGAGGAGACCATGACCTGGGCCAAAGGCAGATGCTTAACCGGCTGAGCCACCCAGGCACCCCTAAGATAACTCTTTTTTTTTTTTTTTTAAGATTTTATTTATTTGACAGAGACACAGCGAGAGAGGGAACACAAGCAGGGGGAGCAGGAGAGGGAGAAGCAGGGGCCCGATGCGGGGCTCAATCCCAGGATCCCGGGATCATGACCTGAGCAGAAGGCAGACGCTTAACGACTGAGCCACCCAGGCGCCCCCTAAGATAACTCTTTTAGCAACTTTCAAGTATACAGTATTAACTATAATCACCATGCCATATATTAGATATCTAGAACTTACTCATCTTATAACTGGAAGTTTGTACCCTTTGACCAACATCTTCCCATTTCCCCCACCCCCAAATGCACCCCCTGGGCAACCAGCAATATACTGTTTCTGTGAGTTTGACTTATTTATTTATTTAAAAGATTTTATTTATTTATTTGACAGAGAGAGACATAGCGAGAGAGGGAACACAAGCAGAGGGGGTGGGAGAGGGAGAAGCAGGCTTCCTGAGGAGCAGGGAGCCCAATGCGGGGCTGGATCCCAGGACCCTGGGATCATGACCTGAGCCAAAGGCAGACGCTTAATGACTGAGCCACCCAGGCGCCCCTTATTTATTTATTTTAAAGTAAGCTCTACACCCAATGTGGGACTTGAACTCACTTCCCCAAGATCAAGAGTGGCATGCTCTACCAACCAAGCCAGTCAGGTTCCCCAGTTTGACTTTTTTTTTTTTTTTTAAGATTTATTTGAGAGAGAGAGGGAGGGAGTGCACACTCGTGTGAGTGTGGCAGGGGAGGGGCAGAGGAAGAGAGTCTTAAGCAGACTCTGAACTGAGCATGTGCCGACGCAAAACTCGATCTCATGAGCCTGAGATCAGGACCTGAATGGAAACTAGGAGCCAGACATTTAACTAACTGTGCCACTCAGGCACCCCCCAGGTTGACTTTTTAAGATTCCACGTGTAAGTAAGATCATATGGCATTGGTCTTTGTCTGACTTCAGTTAGCATAATGCCCTTAGGTTTATCTATGTTGACCCAAATGCTCCACTGGTTTAAGATGTACACTCACTGGGTCTTAGTGATAAGTCTCTAAAATGTAGTTCTTTTTTTTTAAAACTAATTTCTACACCCACTGTGGGGCTTGAACTCACAACCCTCAGATGGACAGTCACAAGCTCTACCGACTAAGCCAGCCAGGTGACCCTACTTCAAGGGTTTTATAGGCCTGTTAAGCCTATAAACGGACCCCAAGTTAAAAATTCCCAATCTAAGAATCTTATAAGTCTCTTTGAGGTCCATAATTCTAGAATTCACCAGCTTTGTTACTAATGACCAGTGCCACAGAAAGGCAGACTGCTACTTCTGGTTCCATTACTTGGCAACAGAAGTGAAAATGAACGATAAAGAGACAACACCAAAGAGATGCAGCCTTCTCTCACTCCGGTCTAAATCTTCTCAGTGGCTCCCAACCAATCAAGGAGGACTGCAGCCAATTTTTAAAATAACTACATGGATAGTGCATATGGTTAATCTGTTAACTCTCTCAGAACCCAGGAAAACGAAAATGGTTACAATATACCATTCCCCTTGGCCATCACATAGGGATTAAGACTAAAGTTTACATCAATACTTTCTACAGGCATTTACTACATGCCAAATTTTCCAAGTAAGATTGCTCTCTGCAGGGTAACAGAAACTACATTGGGAATCCAATTTTACCTCAGATAGGCATAACATAGTCAGTTAAAAGCTGTATTCATGAAAAGAAGATTTTTAAGGGTCCTCATTAATATTATTGTAGTTCAGCTCTGCTCCAGAAAGTCTGAACTTGCACAAGTGAATGGATATTAAGCTACACAGATGAAACTGACCTTTCTGTATCTATTAGTAAAGCTGTCTTTGGTTCGGGTTTGACCATTCCAGGGCTGGCTTAACAGGCCAGTAGCTTCACTCCTACTTAGTATTTTTAAACAGTTGGATCCTTAAGTACATGACCTTTGATTCTTTGTAGTAACAGAGACCAGAAGACTCCCCAAAACTCCACCCACTGACTACTTACCACAACTTTATTGAAGTCCTGGATTGCAAAATACAGGGCAATAGCAGTGAGTGCATCAGTTATCTGTCAAGAGAAAGAGAAATACTAGTGTAGGAGGGATGGAATGCTGCCAGGACCTACAGCTTTTGGATGGTAGTGGACTATTTGGTAATGAACTCAGGCAGAACCTCAACTCGCACTTTGACCATCCAAAGATAAAGCCTTTCAGGGAGATTTGACTAGAAAACCCTGAGGACTGGCACCCACCAAGGCTTGTTAGCGTGGTGTACCACATCTGTTCTTTAATTGCAAGTCACTTAGGTTTTCTGTAAAACAGGAATAACACCCAGTGCTTTGCAGGCCTGATGTACGTCAAGTGCCTAGCATGAAGTAAGTCCTCAGTAAACAGCAGCCATTATAATGATTAAGGAAGACTTCAGGGGGCCTCCTACTTGACCCAGATTTTCAACCCTACACTAGGCAAGTGTATCAAATTACTCTCTCTCAAAACCACCCTGTCAACTCAACTTTGAAGGTTATTGCTCCTGAGAGTCTCATCAGGCCTATGTCCACTGCATGGAATCTCTTGGCAGAATGCTTAGGAAATTCAGGATGCCCTCTACACTGGCACCACAATTAAAACCAATCATAGAATCTTGGTGCTACAAAGTTTGAGACTACATAGTCCAGAAACCAAGTACAAGGAATTGGAACTGGTCAACTGTCAGAGACTACTCCCCGTACTTCCAAAATACTATCAGAGTTCCTTGAATTCAAATTAAGGATAGGTTTTTGCTTTTATACTCTCAGAGAGTCCTAAGCTCCTAAAAGATATTTTTCTTAAGATAAAAGACTCTAGGGGGACGCCTGGGTGGCTCAGTCGGTTAAGCGGCTGCCTTTGGCCTGGGTCATGATCCCAGTGTCCTGGGATCGAGTCCCACATCGGGCTCCTTGCTCAGCAGGGAGCCTGCTTCTCCCTCTGCCTCTGCCTCTCCCCTGCTTGTGCTCTCTCTCTCTGACAAATAAATAAAATCTTAAAAAAAAAAAGATAAAAGACTCTAAAGATATACACATATTGACTTTATGTGGAAGGTTACTTACCATAAATACCAATTCAGCATAGTCAATCAGGAAATGAAAGAGGTATATTATTAATGGAGTCTGTAGGAGAAAAACAAGCAAACAGACAAATTAACTTAAATCTTACTGTTATCAGTTTGCAGTGTAGGGAATGGGGAAGAAGCTATTCTTTCAGCAAAAATCTCTCTTTTCTGGAATACTGTTCTATGCTAGTTGGCCAGCGTACATATGAGGGAGAATAATTTAGTGTCACTGAATCATTTTTGCCATGGGGTATATCTGCTGAACTGAGTAAAGAGAACAAAATATGACATGTGGTAAATATCTGTTGAGGAACTGTAAGCATATTAAAGGTATGAGGTAAACTCTAGTTCTAAGCCATACAGAATAGCCAAGGGGAACTCCACAGTGGACCAAGATTACTGAAATCATAAAATAAATTGGGAAATGTTTTCCTGCTTTTTGTCCTCTGAGATGTTTTATATCATTAATGTTATTACCTCCTCAAATATTTGGGAAAATTTGCTCACTGTGAAGTCATCTTGGCATGGATTTTCTTTAAGAGAAGATTTTAATTACAGATTCAATTTCTTTCACAGTTTCTTGCCTTAAAGTCTTCTTTTTCTGATGTCAGCATAGCTACATCAGCTTCTTTGTGTTAATGTTTGCTCGCTATATCTTTTCCTATATTTTTAGGTTCTACTTTTTTCTGTGTCCTCATATGTAAGATATGTTTCTTAAAAGCAACATATAATTACTTTTCTTCTTTGTTTTTAAAGATTTTATTTATTTATTTGACAGAGAGAGATAGAGCACAAGCAGAGGGAGCAGGAGAGGGAGAAGCAGGCTCCCTGCTGAGCAGAGAGCCCGATGCGGGGCTCGATCCCAGGACCCTGGGATCATGACCCGAGCCGAAGGCAGACGCCTAACGGCTGAGCCACCCAGGCGCCCCAATTCTACATGTATTTTAAACCCATAAAGCATTATTATTGTTTTATACAGTCAATATTTATTTAATTTACCCACATATCTACCTTTTTCACTGTTACTTATTCCTTCCTATATTCCATGATGCTGTTGAGAACCATAATCCTGCCTTTTTATAATTTTTTAAATGCTGGCAACAAATTTTATCAATTTTTATTTGCTTGGAAATGTCTTTACCTTCATCTCTGAGAGATAATAACCCCTTTGTCTGTTTGTAATCTGTCTTTGATTTTGAGCAGTTTTATTAAAATGTATGTTTTTCTTTGAATTTATCCTGCTTGGGTTTATAGAGCTTCTTGAATTGAAATATTTCATAAATTTTGAAAAAAAAAATTCAGTTACTAATCTCTTCAAATATTGTTCCTGCTTCATTTTGTCTCTTCTCCCATTCCGGAACTCCATTTATATGTATGTTAAACCTCTTTACTATATCTCATAGGCCTCTTTTTTTTTTTTTCTTTTCTGTTTTCTATCCTTTTCTCTCCAAACTTTAGTCTAGGTATTTTCTATAGACCTATCTTCCAGATCATAAATCCTCTCTTTAGCTTTGTTTGATCTGCTGTTGAATTTCCTACTGCATTCTTAATTTGCTGTTAGGTTTTCCAGTTCTAGAATTTCCATTTGATTCATTATTATATATATTCTAGTTCCCTGGAGAAAATCTCTACCTTGTCACTTATTTTTTGTGCATATTAATCACTGACCACTATTATCTTAGAGTCCAAGTTTGATAACTGCAATATCTGAATTACCTGTGAATCTTTAGTGCCTGTTTTTTCCTGTCTTTTATTATGCTTGGTAACTTCTGAATGAATGATGGACACTGTACAGGGAAAATTGTAGAGGTTCTGCATGAGGTATTTTCTTCCAGAAAGGACTTTTCTTTTTTCAGAAAGGATTTCTTTAAACTTCTGGCAAGCAATTAGAATAGAATTGCATCACCTTAATCTAATTAGAATTTAGTTTTTTGTAAGACTAGTCTATATGTGTTCTACCCTTATTCTGTCCTTCAGTGTAGTCCTTCAGAGGACCCAACTGGAAGCCAAGACCTTTACCAGAGCCCTGCCATCTTGGTTGGCCATGCACTTGAATTTGTATTTCTCTAGCACTGTGAGACTGCCAATAGCTCTGCTTAGCTCCTTAGCCTCTTAACAGTCAATTTCTGTTCTCTTTCTCTGCTCTCAGCCTGTGCCACTTGCAAACTGATAAATGCATTAAGGAGAAAGCAGCTTAGACCGTCAGTCTCACATTTTGTACCTTCCTCTCTGGGATCTCAATCCCTCAATCCTGGCTATCTTGGTATTTTCCAACACCATCAAACAGATGTTTTTTCCTATTCATCCTCCTTTCCTAGTCGTCCTTGGCAGGAGGGTTGGTCCGCTACTATAAGCAAGTTCACCAATCCACCAGAACCAGAAGGATAGTGCATGACTTGGTTTTAGTGAACGCTTGCTGGTGACTAAGGAGGATCTCTTCCCAACTCCCAACCCCATGCAAAAATGTGTCCTATAATATTGCAAAGGTCACTAACAGGCTTTTTAAGGACAGCAAGCTGGTGTGATAGAAAGAACAAGGCTTTGGGGTCAAACTCAGGTTTAAAACCAGGTTCCGGGGCACCTGGGTGGCTCAGTTGTTAAACATCTGCCTTCGGCTCAGGTCATGATCCCCAGGTCCTGGGATCGAGCCCCGCATTGGGCTCCCTGCTCCGTGGGAAGACTGCTTCTTCCTCTCCCACTCCCTCTGCTTGTGTTCCCTCTCTCACTGTGTCTCTCTGTCAAATAAATAAACAAAATCTTAAAAAAAAAAGCAAAAAACAAAAAAAACACCCAGGTTCCACCTGTGTACCTTTTCTCTCTAAACCTTAGAGTCCTCAGCTATAAAATAAAAATAGTGACCTACTGGGGTGCCGGGTGGCTCAGTCGGTTAAGCTTCTATCTGCCTTCGGCTCAGGTTGTGATCCCAGGGTCCTAGGAAGAGTCTGCTTCTCCCTCTCCCTCTGCCTGCCACTCCCCCTGCTTGTGCTCTTTCTCTCTCTCACTCTGTCAAATAAATAAATAAAATCTTAAAAAAAAAAGTGACCTATTTCACAAGGTTCTTGGGAGGAGTAAATGATAATGGGCATGAAGCGCTTAGCACAGTGCCTAACATATATACAGTAAACCTCAATATGTTAGCTACCTGAGATCAACTTTTTACCTCCTGTTTTCAAAAGAAAACAAGGGCATCAACTTTGCCTTTCAAAGTTCTAAAAGAATTAAACTTTTTACAACTATCTACTAATGGATTCTTTTTTTTCACTTATCTTTGTCAGTAAGAAGTAGTAACTTGATACTTATATTACCAATGGCTTGCTTTCAAAGTATTTTGATACTTTAGATAGTTAGGAATGGCCCTAAGTAGGTCTCAGAAATGACAGAACAAATAGTCCTCAAAAAGCCTATCAGCAAATGGGCTGGTTTCCATAATGAGCTAACATGGACACAGTAGTTAGTTTGTGTATCATATTATTATAGACAAGTATACAGTGAATATAATTTGTCTTCATGCTACATTTCCATGTGGGTGACTATTCCCAGTCAGGGCAGGGCAAATATTAATGAACTCACAATTTTACAATCAGTAATTGGCCAACCACAGAAAACAGAAACGTCTGTTGAAGGTAGTCATGAAATCTAACGTGGTTGCCAGATCCTCTTTTTCTCTCCTGTGCAGATTTTTCTTCTCCACTCTTACATTTCCCTAAGAACTAGATAATAAAATCTGCTGAAGATTAAAAAAAAAAAAGCAAAGCAATGATGAACTTCCCCTTCCAAAGTCTTCTTTTCACTTGGCTTGACATAATTTTATTTCTTTATTTCTTAAAGAAACTGTCTTGAAATATAGATTGCTCTGGATTTATGAACACTGAGCTTAAAAGCAAATTAACCCATATGCAAGGGGCGCTTGGGTGGCTCAGTCGTTCGTTGAGTGTCTGCCTTCAGCTCGGGTCGTGATCCCAGGGTCCTGGGATCAAGCCCCATGTCGGGCTCCCTGCTCGGCAGGGAGTCTGCTTCTCCCTCTCCCACTCCCCCTGCTTGTGTTCCCTCTCTCTGTCAGATAAATAAATAAAATCTTAAAAAAAAAAATTAACCCATATGCAGGAAAGGAGCAAGGGAGTCTGACTCTGAGGTCACCCCCACCATGTTTGGGGGAAGCAACTGTTCAGTCCTAAAGGGGTTGTCTTACGTAAGTATAGAAAGTTAACATGGCTTCTTGTAGCTGGAAATTACTACCTCCTACCATTATCCCCCTTTACTTACACTTACACACACACACACACACACACACACACACACTGGTGAGGAGTAAGAATGTGTTCTAGACTCCCTCATTGTAGCGAAGAATGCATTTTCTCATAGAAACATTTTAAATAATGGTTAAATGGCTAGATATAGCTCTTCTATTCATCCATTTGACATATTCTTTCTGAAGGGACTATTTCACATCTTCCCCTGTCCTCCAACTTTCCTACCCACTTCTCACTTTCATCTGACAACCTCATTTCTTACTTCACTGAGAAAAGAAGCAATTAAATGAGAACCACCTTATTTTCCCACTACCCCATTGACCAACTTCCTGTATCTATACCTATATTCTCTATCTCCTGTTAACAATGGATGAGTTTCCTTTCTTCTTATCTGAAGTCAAATTCTCCCCTTGTGAACTGTAGCCCATTTCTTCTTGCCTCCCCAAAGACACTGCTCATTCAATTATCCTCTTTCTTACATCTTCAACTTCTCTATCCACAGGATTATTCCCATCAGCAAATGCAGTCTCATTTTTTTGCTATTTTATTCTTTTATCTTATTAAGTTTTAAGAGATTTTACATGTTCTTTTTTTAAAACTTTTTATTTAAATTCAATTTAGCTAACCTATAGTGTATTATTAGTTTTGGGGGTATAATTTAGTGATTCATGAGTTGCATATATGCAGTGCTCATTACATCAAGTGCTCTTCTTAATGCCCATTATCCAGTTACCCAATCTCCCCACCCACCACCCCTCCAGCAACCTTCAGTTTGTTTCCTACTTTTAAGAGTCCCTTATGGCTTGCT